CTATGGTTAGCATACTATAGCTGCTGTTTCCATGAAAACGTTTGTTTCCTCTGTGTAGCTTTAATATTTAATCTGTGGGGTTGTTTCTCCTTAAAGATAAAAATAATATGATTTTTCTTGATCAAACACTATCTCAATGGACTGAATAGTCTAGCGTTAGCATTAGCTTAGCTTTTCGGGACAACTGAGTTTAATCACGGCAGATAACAAGGCTACAAACAAACGTGTGTGGCAGATCTAACGCCTGTATTGTATCATAACAGTCGTGTTCATAACTCAACAGTAAAGCATAATGCAGGTACGTACCATAGACACATGTTACGTGTTCGCTCCGGGTCCAAGGTGAGTGGTTCAAGCTAACATGAGTTCTGTGCATTCACGGCCGTGGCTCGGGGAAAAAAGCCAGCGAAGCATTCATCAAAATCGTCTTCAAATATCTTCACAAGTTTAGTCTTGAATAAAACTTGTGTGTGGCTGTTTTTATGTCCTTATGTCAAGCCCATTTACATAAACATTCGCACGGACGTGTGTTGTTGCCCATGGTTTGTTGACAGCATTAGCCGGAAGCACTGCTAGCTACTTCCACGGGTCTGTTTCAGAGAGGTATCTCGAGATACCTCTCCGAAACAATAGGTATCTTGAGATACCTCTCCGAAACAATAGGTATCTTGAGATACCTCTCCGAAACAATAGGTATCTTGAGATACTACTGACCTCCGAAACAATAGGTATCTTGAGATACCTCTCCGAAACAATAGGTATCTTGAGATACCTCTCCGAAACAATAGGTATCTTGAGATACCTCTCCGAAACAATAGGTATCTTGAGATACCTCTCCGAAACAATAGGTATCTTGAGATACCTCTCCGAAACAATAGGTATCTTGAGATACCTCTCCGAAACAATAGGTATCTTGAGATACCTCTCCGAAACAATAGGTATCTTGAGATACCTCTCCGAAACAAAAGGTATCTTGAGATACCTCTCCGAAACAAAAGGTATCTTGAGATACCTCTCCGAAACAAAAGGTATCTTGAGATACCTCTCCGAAACGAAAGGTATCTTGAGATACCTCTCCGAAACGAAAGGTATCTTGAGATACCTCTCCGAAACAAAAGGTATCTTGAGATACCTCTCCGAAACAATAGGTATCTTGAGATACCTCTCCGAAACAATAGGTATCTTGAGATACCTCTCCGAAACAATAGGTATCTTGAGATACCTCTCCGAAACAATAGGTATCTTGAGATACCTCTCCGAAACAATAGGTATCTTGAGATACCTCTCCGAAACAATAGGTATCTTGAGATACCTCTCCGAAACAATAGGTATCTTGAGATACCTCTCCGAAACAATAGGTATCTTGAGATACCTTTATTTTATTTTTTACTCTACTATGCCCCTTCAGGGGCTCCGTACTGAGTGATGAGCGGTGTTAGTTCTGGGCCATACTTAACATTTAGCATTTGGGCCAAAGCGTTCCATTCTGGTCTCACCTGACCACAGCACCTTCTCCCACATGTTTAAAGCCTCTCGCTTTGCTTCTTGCAGCTTTATTTTAAAAGGAACAATATGTAAAAATATGGCCAAAAGTGGTACTGCAGTCACAGTCAATTTTTTTTCTAGTCCTCTCCCACTCTCCCTGACTCAGGTTGCCAGATTCACACCAAATCCAGCAGCAAACACAGGGAATTATTTTATCAGTTGTTTGTCCATCTCCATTCACATTGCCATGACAGCCGTGCTAATGCTGAATGAATGTTTTGATTAATGTTTTTTTATTATTATTATTTGGACATTTGAGATAAAAAACAAAAACAAAATAAAAGCAATGTAATTATACATAGTTTATGCAAAATAAATAAGCAATTGATGTCCAAAATAGGAGTGGGAAGAATGGATGTTGGAACGTATTTCTTCAGCGTATCAACATCAGGGTTTGCTCAAGAGGATATCACCTTTCAATTTTATTTATTCCCTAATTTTTAGACAAACATGTAAAAGTCCCACATCAAAAAGAGACTAACATTATTTTAATTGGGGTACATGTGGTCTTAAATGATTATTTTTACAATTAAGCTATAATCTGCAAAAAAACGTCTTGACCTTCATCTTTTACCGTTTTTAGAGCAATCTGTCATAGAATGTGATAACATGCAATAAATACAAAAAGACATAGCCCGGGATCGAACCCGGGTTCCTGCATCGTAAGCGCATAGTTTAGACCAAGGGTTCCCAAAGTTTTTAGCCCGCGACCCCCATCATAAATGCCCTGCTAACCCGCGACCCCCGCCCCCCCCCAACAGCCCTTCCGTCACATGAAATGAGCATGTATTTCCTTGATTCGGAGTAACGCTTTCTAGAGACTCACGCCACTACCGAGCTGCACTGTCCAGCCCAAAAAAGGAGGCTTGCATATTTTTACTCATGTAGTGACACAGTGATGGGCTTGATGGGCTTCCTCCTCAGCAGAAGTGGGGCGCATTTCTTGCGGCTCGCCCTCACTGTTCTCCTACCGCGGTAAAGTGGGCCGGCTTTCCGGAGTCAGCGGTAAAGAGGTCCGCACATTAAAAGCGGGCGGCCGCTTTCTGCTGTTACTTTATGCAAAGTTACTGTCAGTAAAGGCATAAACCGGCCACCCGCTTTTAATGTGCGGACCTCTTTACCTTTGACTCCGAAAAGCCGGGCCTCTTTAACGCGCTGTTCTACCGCTGTCCTCCCTCCCTCCGCTGCCCTCTCTCCCTCCTCTGCCCACTCTCCCTCCTTTGCCCTCTCTCCCTCTCTTCGCACCATCAGCCTGACCCCTGATACAAGTGACTTTTCTCCCCCTCCGGGTTTTTCTGTTGTGGAAATTAACCACGTTTCATTTTAAAGCAGGTATTATTTATTTGTAGCCTCCAAACACCTTTAGTTTTAGCAAACAACAGCAGGACACGCTTTGTCGCTGCGCATGATGTGAGCTGTGTTACGTGATGATTTTGATTGACGCTGCAATGACTGGGACAAAATTACTAAAGTTATTAAAATATATTATTGTCTTTTTTTTTGTGTGGAAATCATCTTGCGACCCCCCCAGGGGTTCCCGCGACCCCCCGGGGGATCGGGACCCCCACTTTGGGAACCACTGGTTTAGACCACTAGACCACCGATTCACACAAATAGAGACACTGTGAAGAACGGAGTCAAACTAGAAAATTCTGCATCACACGTGAACTTTTATCAGCTGTCTCAATTGTTCAAAGGCATCCCGATATAAATCCTCGTTTTAGTCTTTGTTTTGTCATTAATGATTTGAGAGTCATAACAAGACCTTTTTTAGTTCTGCGCCACATGTTATTTTACCACTGAGATTAATGAGCCGCGCGGAGTTCTGGCAACTCGATCACGGACTTACATGACACTTCCTGATTGGCGAAACGGCGGAGGGTAGGACATCAAAATCAAAACAATAACAACTTTTACGGGTCGTAAAACTAATTTTGATAATCAAATGTCTCGGCTGAACTACTGTTATCAGTTAAAGATGAATTCGAAAAGAGTATGATTTAATAACGCCTTTTGAAATATTCGGGTCATTTAATGATGACTTGACATGCAAATATTACATATTGCTCCTTTAAGATGAAGAGATCCTTTATATGTCCCACAGTGGGGAAATGTTGGTGTTGCATCACAGGTTATAGAACAGTAGGAAAGAGGAGCACACAGCACACGATAAGTGAACAATAGCTGTACTAATCAAAATAAAAACAATCAAACTCTAGCATCAATAATAAGTATAAAATCTTTAAAATATAATAGATGTAAAAAAATTAACATTTGACAAAATAAGAGGCAAGTATAAAGTACTGTGTAATCTAGTGAAAGTAAAGTGTAGTTATATGTTTACATCTGTACATTAGCAGCAGTATGTTTACATCTGTACATTAGCAGCAGTATGTTTACATCTGTACATTAGCAGCAGTATGTTTACATCTGTACATTAGCAGCAGTATGTTTACATCTTTACATTAGCAGCAGTATGTATACATCTGTATATTGCACATTCTGGTATAAGATAACGATATTGCAACGATGCGAGAATGACACGTTGAATCAAGATGGCAGTGTTCATTAGTCCTTATTGTTTGTTGTACAGTCTGACAGCAGCGGAACCTCTCCTTCACACATCGAGGGAGAGGTGTGTTTTAACACTGACTTTCCATTTACCATGAAGGTAAGATGTGTGTAGTTTATGGCTAATGTTTGTTTTATATACAGATGAACTGTGGATGTCTGCAGCTCCTCCAGATCTCACAATGGGCCTTGTGTCTGCATCTGTGATCAGTGTTGTACTTGTTCGCACTCTAAACATACAGAGACTCTCAAAAGCATTAATACAGCTTGAACTTTTGCACATTTTTGTCATGTTCACACCATAAATATGAAGATCTTATTTTTTATGTAACAGACAATTGAGAATCAAAATAATACAGAAACTTGTATAATTTTACTTTCACTTCACAGTTGTGTTACTCTGTGTGAACGTTCAGTAAAAAAATCCAAACACAACATAATCTGCAAAAGGTCAGGCTGTATTAATACTTTTTAGATGCACTGTATGTCAGAGGTGTCATAGAACAGCTGTATTTACACTCAGATGGGCTCTATTTAGGGCAACAGTTTAATGCACTCGTGCTTTATGCAAACCCCATAAAGTAGTAGCATCGCTGTTGGTCCTAACACCTGCTGCTTTACAGAGTTTATGTATTTTTAAAAGATTACTTGAAGGCTTGTTCTGAACAGAAAGGTTCAATTTATAAGGTACACACATTTGCAGGTTTAAAGTATTCTGTAACTAAATACATCTGCAGTATTCTCCCCAACACTGCCTCAATATGAAGTCAGTTACACAAATGAGAATTCTGAACATATTTTCCTTGTGCTCCCATCATCAGCGCCTTTAGACATATGAACTTATTCGCTGTTGTGTACCGTCGTGGTGCCGCAAATAAATTGGTTTATCTGCCCCGCGGTGGCCCACCCCTGTCCTGGGACTGCGACCCACCTCCGTCCTGGGACTGCAGAACCCTGATGGAGCCATCCCTTTGCAGCAGCAGGGAGGAGGGCTGGACGCATGGATGTCGCGGCCCGCGGAGGTCCTGGAGCCCGAAGCAGCACTGGAAGCACACGGCCCACGCCTGCTCCTCGTTGATGGGCTGCTCGTAGGACCTCAGCACCTCCTCCAGAGACAGCTCTCGGAGGCCGCTGCCGTCCGCGGGGGAACAGGACTGATCGCCGTCCGAGCGAGCCATGACGCAGCCTGGACCATGTTCCACTGGTTCCACCGCATCTGCGTGCACGCAACCATCAGCAACATTGGGCACTTCCGGAACCTTTTCAAAATACTAAATACAAAATGCAACAAACTGTACCCAGGCTGTGGAAGGGATTTCCTACTGCAATTGTTTATGATGCTGTCTAACTGATCTTGTATGAATGCTTCTTTAATCCTATACTTCTGCCATTTACACTGCAACCCTGACATTTCCTCACTGTGGGACAAATAAGGTTCTTATAATTAAACTAAATTGTGTTGTTGCTTATTTGGTGCTATTTTCTAACATTAATGCTAAAATAACCATAGTTCACGACTGAAACTGCCAAACCAAATAAGAGAAATAAGTGGCATGTTTCTGCTCACTGATTGGATGTTATCAAGTGCATCATGGCACTTAGTTCCCGAAAATACCATATTTGATTTGAGAATTATTCCCTAGAGTCTTTGGACTAAGTTAACATTTCTTTTCAATCCTCCATCTAAAGCTAAATCTCACACTTGTGATTCTGTTTATATTGTGATATTTTCTTGGGGTGAAACTCAATTTTGCTTTTGCAACCATCTTACTTAAATATGGAGGACCAAAACTGTCAAAATAATAAACAAAATGAATAAATAAATAAATGTCACAATCTGCATATTATTATGAAATTTTATGAATGTATATTATTATTATACAACATTTTTTGGTTAAAGCTTTATTGTTCTCTGTCTGCATGTATTTATTTCCTTATTCATTCAAACGTTAAGATTAGAAATATATATATATATTATTTTTTAACTGCAGTTTTTTCCCCCAAAGAAATAACTAATCCTCTTTATTTTATTCTTGCATGTATTAATTTTCTTCATTTCTTTCCTTTTTATTTATGTTCTGTTTTATTATTTCACAACGCATTATTCTTCCCCTGTGTCTTGCAAAGAAATGCAAATGAAGGGGGCGACCACAGACAGCGAGAAAAAAGCAATCGCCTTGTGCAAACTGACCTGCTAAACCCGGAAGTCAAATGGCGCGTTCAGACCGGATCATGCGTTGCGTCGGGTTTCAATGCAAAGTCTATGGTTGCAGCGTCACAACGCACGGACCTCTCGGCAAGCACGGACGGACTGTTCAGTAGACACGCACGGACTTGGCGGGAAAGTCAAAGAGGAGGAGCAGGAGCGAAAAATCGACGCCCACAGGAGATGGATTCTGCTCATCCTTTCCTTGGGACGTTCGTGCGACAACCAATCAGAGAGCCGCAAAGTGGTCACGGGGACATTAGCGGACTGAGCGAGCAGACTGAAAATACTGTAAACAGCCAAAACAGGACCCACACCAGACTTCACCAGAACTCAAACCAGGGTTGACAATGGGGGACTCTGTGCTTGTGAAAATATGCGTTGTCATGCTCCCGTGACCTTATGCAACTGCTTTGAGTGTGTTCGCAGATGCGGAAATACCGTTTAATAATATGAAAAAACGTATGGCGCACCTCCGTGAACACATACTACTGTTATATAAAGCCCGTGGAAAGTCTCTGTTCAAAGACACGTGGCAAAGCTGCATATTGGAGAAGATCTGTACACAAGAAGCCGCTAGCACAGCTCTGTTAGCATCAGAGCCAGCCGGCTACTTCCGGTACTTCCGGCTCGCGTGAGGACGTTCTGGTGTGAAGTCCTCTGCGTCTGAAAACTAGAGAATGCGCGTCTGGTGAGCGGGGCTTCAGTGTTTCAGCGTTTGAGCGTTTGCGGTCTGAATGCACCAAAACAGTGCTGCCATTACAGCCGTGCCATCTAGCTGCATGAAGCTGTTTGTCCCGTGGCTGTCGATGGAATTGTTACTTCTTCTATAATGCCTAGAAGAGCGTGTTGTGTGTTACAACACGTTCAAATACAAGCCTGCAATAGAACCTTGTGTGAACTTCTTAAACGTTTACAACATATTGACTTCCCTGTACAGACTGCAGAGAGCTCTTGGTCCAGCTGAGGAACAAGATGTGCGTCTGAAGTAGATTAATTATATAAACTGAGATGACTTTAAGCCAAAACAAGAAAGCAGTGGTAAGTTTAGCTTTGATTATTACAGTGCCTTGCGAAAGTATTGAACCTTTCAACATTTCGCCACATTTCAGGCTTCAAACATAAAGATATAAAAATTATTTTTTTTGTCAAGAATCAACAACAAGTGGGACACAATCGTGAAGTGGAACAACATTTATTGGATAATTTAAACTTTTTTAACAAATAAAAAACTGAAAAGTGGGGCGTGCAATATTATTCGGCCCCCTTGCGCTAATACTTTGTAGCGCCACCTTTTGCTGCAATTACAGCTGCAAGTCGCTTGGGGTATGTCTCTATCAGTTTTGCACATCGAGAGACTGGAATTCTTGCCCATTCTTCCTTGCAAAACAGCTCGAGCTCAGTGAGGTTGGATGGAGAGCGTTTGTGAACAGCAGTCTTCAGCTCTTTCCACAGATTCTCGATTGGATTCAGGTCTGGACTTTGACTTGGCCATTCTAACACCTGGATACGTCTATTTGTGAACCATTCCATTGTAGATTTGGCTTTATGTTTTGGATCATTGTCCTGTTGGAAGATAAATCTCCGTCCCAGTCTCAGGTCTTTTGCAGACTCCAACAGGTTTTCTTCCAGAATGGTCCTGTATTTGGCTCCATCCATCTTCCCATCAATTTTAGCCATCTTCCCTGTCCCTGCTGAAGAAAAGCAGGCCCAAACCATGATGCTGCCACCACCATGTTTGACAGTGGGGATGGTGTGTTCAGGATGATGAGCTGTGTTGCTTTTACGCCAAACATATCGTTTTGCATTGTGGCCAAAAAGTTCGATTTTGGTTTAATCTGACCAGAGCACCTTCTTCCACATGTTTGGTGTGTCTCCCAGGTGGCTTGTGGCAAACTTTAAACGAGACTTTTTATGGATATTGTTGAGAAATAGCTTTCTTCTTGCCACTCTTCCATAAAGGCCAGATTTGTGCAGTGCACGACTGATTGTTGTCCTATGGACAGACTCTCCCACCTCAGCTGTAGTTATCTGCAGTTCATCCAGAGTGATCATGGGCCTCTTGGCTGCATCTCTGATCAGTCTTCTCCTTGTTTGAGATGAAAGTTTGGAGGGACGGCCGGGTCTTGGTAGATTTGCAGTGGTCTGATACTCCTTCCATTTCAATATAATTGCTTGCACAGTGCTCCTTGAGATGTTTAAAGCTTGGGAAATCGTTTTGTATCCAAATCCGGCTTTAAACTTCTCCACAACAGTATCTCGGACCTGCCTGTGTGTTCCTTTGTCTTCATGGTTCTCTCTGCGCTTTAAACAGAACCCTGAGACTATCAAAGAGCAGGTGCATTTATACGGAGGCTTGATTAAGGCAAGGCAAGGCAAGTTTATTTGTATAGCACAATTCATACACAAGGCAACTCAAAGTGCTGAACAAAACAAGAAAGCATTAAAATCATAAATAATCCCAGTACATTAAAAAGAAAGATAAAAATATAAAATCCCTCAGTTGTATGCACAGCTAAACAGAACCGTTTTTAACCTGGTTTTAAACATTGTCAGAGAGGAGGCCTGTCTCACATCTTCAGGGAGACTGTTCCAGATTTTAGCAGCATGAATCTGAAAAGCAGCCTCCCCATGTTTAGTTCTGACTCTGAACACTAACAGGAGTCCAGTCCCTGTGCTGCTCAGAGTCCGGGCTGGTTCATATGGTTCAGTTGACAGTTCATATGTCACTAATATATTTTGGTGCGAGGCCATGGAGAGATTTGTACACAAGCAGAGCTGTTTTAAAGTCTATTCTCTGAGCCACAGGAAGCCAGTGCAGAGACCTGAGGACCGGACTAATGTGGTCGTACTTCCTGGTTCTAGTCAGGCCTCAGGCTGCTGCATTTTGAATGTACTGCAGCTTTTTACAGCCTGTTTGGACAGACGTGTGAGCAGGCCATTGCAGTAGTCTAACCTACTGGAGACAAATGCATGGATAAGAATCTCCAAGTCTGCTTTAGACACTATGTTTTTGATCCTGGCAATGTTTTTTAGATGGTAAAAAGCTGCTGATGTTACTGATTTGATTGATTAAAATTTAAGTCTGAGTCCAGTATTACCCCTAGATTTCTGACCTTGTTTGAAGGTTTTAGGGAGAGAGACTGGAGGTGACAGATGACGCTCTCTCTTTGTTTCTGGGGACCAAAGACTATCATTTCAGTTTTGTCCGCGTTTAGCCGAAGGAAGTTGTTTTGCATCCACTCACTGATCTGTTGGATACAGTGAAGGAGTGAGTCCACTGGTCCATGTTCTCCTGCATTCAGTGAGACATAGATCTGAGTGTCGTCTGCATAGTTATGATAGGACACTTCGTTTCTGCGTATTAACTGACCTAATGGCAGCATGTAGAGATTGAACAGAAGAGGTCCCAGGATTGATCCCTGTGGTACTCCACAGGTCAGGGCTATATGATCTGAGACACAGTTTCCAATCTCCACAAAGTACTTCCTGTCTTCAAGGTAAGACCTAAACCAACTTAGGGCGGTGCCAGCGACGCCAACCCAGTCCTCTAGTCTCTGTAAGAGGATCTCATGGTCGACGGTGTCAAAGGCAGCACTTAGATCTAACAAGATTGAGATTGAGACTTGGCCTGCGTCAGTGTTCATCCGGATATCGTTTGTAACCTTGACGAGAGCAGTCTCAGTGCTGTGGTGGGGTCTAAAGCCAGACTGAAACATATCAAATGAGTTGTTGATTATAAGAAATCTAGTAAGCTGTAGGTAGACAACTTTTTCAAGGACTTTCCCCATAAATGGCAGATTTGAGATGGGACGATAGTTGTTAAGTACAGTGGCATCCAGACGGCTCTTTTTTTAGCAGGGGCCTGATGACTGCCGTTTTCAGGGCCTTTGGGAATATTCCAGAATGAAGGGACATGTTTACTATCTGTGTGAGTGAAGGTAACAGACTGCTCAGAACAGACTTCAGAAA